CGTATGTTGAATATGTAGCCAGCCACGCTAATCGGAGGTATGGGGGAAGGACTAAAAACTAAACACAAAAAGCAGTTAGAGAGAAATGAGTTTTCAATTGAGATTTAAAAGTGCGTAGCTCCAGTGGCTTCCAAATATCGGAATGAAGAGCATTCCAGATGGCCGCAGAAGCGCATTCAAAAGCGTGCGATACAGTGACAGTCTTTGTTAGATGATTAGCCTCCGGTCACCGTAAATTCCTTCATGGGACCCAGCCTTCGTCGTGCTCTGCCGGACCTCAGGTTGATTCAGTGAAGGTCCGCAGTGGTATCTCGTGCGGCACATCTTCATCCGAGATCCTTGCTGGCCGTAGCTCCTGCGTGGACAAGTTGGTCGAGGTCCACGATGCAGCTTGTAACAGTGGCCGGACAGTTGATCAGTTTCCGCCTGCTGCGCTGCGAGGGGGAGCGGCGGCGTCTGCCTCCCCGGAGCCCTAGCTCGCCACAAATCGAGTGGCAGCAGTGGCTCTGGCTCGTGCATCTCCATCCGCTGCGCTGCAAGGAGAGGTTGTGGCTGCATCCTCGGAGCTTCAGCTCACCACGCGGCAGGTGGAGGCGGCGGCTGCTCAGGACACGCAGTATTGGCTCTTTCTTCCTCTCTCGCTTTGATGATCACCGTCATCAGCCGATCAATTGTGGAGGTAAGACGGTCCGTCCAGTCTCTTCGCTATCTATTCCCAGCTCTCCTGTCTGGGCGACACTGGTTCCCTGATCCGTGGCGGGCCCTCCACCTCCTTTGGGAACGTAATTGGCGACGGGGTCCGGCTCCCACGGGGTTCCGGGTCTCAGGGACCCAGGGCGCTTAGGGACGATGCTTCTTCCAAGGGAGCTCCTCTGCAGGTCTTCTTTCGGGATACAGTAGACTGCATCCCACTGCTGCCACCAGTGTAAAAAAAACTCTTTGGAGACATCCATGTTTGTAGAAGTAGAGCTCTATTTCTGACGTAACCGTCAGCCCCGATGTCATCCACCTTGGTCGTCGATTAGTCCCCGAGCAAATGCTCGCGGCCTCGCTCCCCCTTATATACTCGCTCGGCCACGCCCCTATCGGACAGTGGCCCTCCCACTCTACTACAACACTCGGTTCTTTATTGAATGATTACAGTGCCTTCTGGCCACCTGTTTCCAATTATCCCAACGTGTGCCTTCTAGCGCTTTCTGTTACATTATGTGTTGTACAGTATAGTATCATCCCCGCGTGTGCTGTGCCGATCTTCATAGGCGCTCGCTAACAGCACTTTCCCAACAGGTAGGTTAAGGCTATGTAGGGGATTTTGTATTTTTTTTACGGGGTGCCTGTTGGAGAGCGGCAGTGCAGTAGTTAGCGTGCTGCTACGAACCCGGCGATCCCGGTTTGATTCCAGCTCACGGCCAACATCGGTGACGATTATTTGAACCAGTCCTGGGCCTCATCGAGGTCGACTTCGCCACAAATGAGTAAGTGGTGCAATGGTAAATGTCGCACTAGGGAGGCAAAGGCGCCCGGGCATTGTGCTGGCCACCCACCCCTCGTTTGCCGTGCTGACCTTCATAGGTGCTACTCACCAACAGCACTTTCGCCAACAGTCTGTTAAAGGCTATACAGGAATTTTTTGTCTTGGGTGTAAACACAATTCTGCTCTGCTGCCTGAGCCTCTAAGAGAAGTGCCTTCATGTGGCGAATGCATCATAATGGCTTGCAGGTTTCTTTCAAAGTGGGCAAATTACTCCCGCAGTAACACAATACACCGGGATGTTCCACTGAAGAGGAGCCATCTGTCCATCGGAAAACATTTTAATCGAGGAAGCTGTTGGTTAGAGCGGAAATCAACAATTTAGAATAGCGCCAAAGGCGTCCCGTTTCTTTTGAGGCCCCTAACCCTTTTCATACCTGATGACTACGCACCGTTGATATCTATCCGCCCCCTTAATGTAAATACGAAAACACCAATAAAGGATGCATTTTAAAACTTGCAAATCATTCACAAATGTGTAAAATAAACATACAAAACACGTCTCTCGTCCCATATCCGGCCCTCTGCACAAAACCAATAAAAGTTTTTGTTTCCATATCCCATCAACCACACACGGACCTCCAAGAATGCACAATGTCCTCGATTGTCAAACATAAATGCCTTTTTATTACCAATAAGCACATGATTAATTTATATTGCAAACAATCAACGTATACATTATTTTATATTGCCAAGAATAAAACTTATGATTTATAAGTTACTTGAATATTTGCAACAAAGTAAAACACATTTTATTTCTATAAAATTATTGAAAATGCTGTCGATAATTGGTACATTAACACGGTTTTGTAATATGTTGTCAACATAAAACACATACAAAGAATCAAACTGAGCAACAACTATGTCATAGAAGATGTGGGATTAATGAATACAGAAGTCTGACGACTTTTTTAGCATCGCTCTAACTTTTCAATTTGTGCTCCTATTAATGTAATTCTTTCCCCAGAATATTAAATCCCAGATAATATACCAATCACAATACATATTATCTCGGCGTTTTACTCGTACATAAAAAAGCTGATCAAACGAACTATATTTATTTGACCAAATAAGGCCCATTGAGCTATATAGCTCTTTTTCAGAAACGACCTGGCCTCAAATGATAGCTCAAGGAAGTGGCTAATCACGTGGAAATGTATAATATCCAAATACTGTAAACGCATGTTTCTAAGTGTGGAGGGAAAACCCGGAGGACCCAGAGAAAAATCTACGTGACCACGGGGAGAGAGACATGCAAACTCCAAATATACAGGCATCAGGGTCAGGATGGAACCCACGACCTCCTGAATACCAGGTAAGGTAGTTAACATCTCGCCACCGTGGCACCCCTAATGTTAGTGGTTGTGCTTGGAGTACAGGACGGTTGTGGGAAGAGCATGACCAATGACAGCTGTCTCTTAGCTTTTGTTGCAGAGCCATGGGTTCTCGATAAGTACAGTATACATATAGATGAAACGTCGATTAGTTTACGTGTATAGACAACTATGGGAAGGCGGCGTATTGTCTGCTTAATAATACCATTATTATTGTCTCCTTATTGTTTTGTTCTTTGCTCCACAATGACACTAACAATACATTTGTGACCGGATCATAAGACTCACCCCCCGTGTTGGGTGGTGGGGCGGGAGACGTGCCGTCTTATAATGCGGAGGATGCGGTAAATGGTTGTTTTCTGAAGCGCTGCATCCTCCCAAGCTCGCGTGTGTGTTTGTGTTCACGTTGTGCTTGGGTTACCACTTGCCCGCTCCTCCCTGGAGGACCGTGGTTTGCAGAGTGAGATCCCGAGCGAAAAGCCAACAGCCCCGCTCACTGGACCCAATCAGAAACAAAAGCAAAAGACATTTCCACCGCTTAGTATTTTGGCGAGCGTGGACTGTGTTAACGGCAATATGTCTTTAATAAAGCCAGCGTCCAAGCTGAATACAGTTTAAAACTCCCCCAAAGATTACGCACGAGGGTTCATAGGAATGCAGTGCAGTGGCATTGAATAAGTCGCTCCATAGTCTGTACCGTGTGTGGTTACATCTGGGGTGGTGCGCACAGCTCCTAGTTACTCATCTCACTCTGCATGATACAATTATAAGCAGAGAGCAGTCAAGTTGATTGATGATCCAGCACTCACTGATTCACTCCAGTAAATCGCTCACTCACTGGGCGGTCAAATGCCCCCTTAGCACTCTTATATCGCTGCTACCATGGTTGCTGTTCCCGTGAACGTCACTCGTTGATTCCTCCACCCATGTTGAGGACTTATTGGTCTACCAAACTGTTTCGTCTCATCCATCACACTGTGTTCAACCACTGTAAACATGCAGTCACTCACTCATTCACACACTCACCCACCCATTCGCCACACTACAGGTCACCTCACCTCTCTTCCTGCTTCTTCTCTCGCACCGCTCCACTTTGGAATTCCCTGCCATCATCTCCTTTCCCAAATGTTTATATGGTCTTTGTCAATTCAATGAACAGATTAACTCGTATCTCTTGCACCTTCCATTGTGCTGTTTGTTGCTGGCCGCTTGGTGTGTTGCGCTTTTTGCTCAACAACAGAGACACAAAACCCCCCAGTGTATTCGAGTGCGTGCATGTATGTATGTAGAACTTCTTTTGCACCGTATGTAGCCAACCGTGCTAATTGGAGGTGCGGGAGATAGACAACAATCTAAACACAAAAAGCAGTTGAAAGGAATTTGTTTTCAATCGAGATTTAAAGTGCATAGCTTCATTGCCTTCTTAATAGCACAATGATTTGCAATTCAGCAGCATTCGGCCTCACACGCAAAAATAAATTGTTTGGTGGAATAATGATCAGTGTGAGCACTGAGTGACGGCTTTTACAACAAAAAGGTATAGAAGTCACACTGAGATGACTCTTGCTCTACTGAATGCTGCGCCGCAGCTGGAAAACACGAGATAGCAATTTCACGTTTTGTTTGTTATGATGTCATCAACAGGGCCATGAAACAGACAGCGAGAGGAAGTGTTGTGCTTTATCGAATTTTAAAGCCATCTAGGACCCGTTTGTATTAGAGAGGAAGGAGCCTTGCCTGTGAACTTTTGGCAGTGTGCCCGGCATTAGTTTAAGCAAGCCGGACTCTGCTGATGAGACGTTGAATGTTGAAACCGGTCCGGAGATTTGCTTGTTTTGAACAAATGCTTCTGAAATTAGGCAATCCCAGAATGAATTTTGTGTGGCCAATGGGATGTGTGAAATAAATAAGTTAATATTTTCTTTGTGTGGCAGGACAGTTATGTGAAGGAGGCATATTTACTGCTTATTTATTTCCTAGTACAGGATTTTAAAGTAACTTTTAAAGGTAGCATGTATAGATTCAGCTGGAATGGGCGAACATTACACACCCTTGTGAATGCTCCTCCGATTTAGAAGCAAACAAACGTGAGGCACTTTAATAGGGTTTAATTCATTATTTATCATTCCTCTGTCGTGCAGCGAACCAGGTAACCTAAGTTGAATTACCGGCCATGGCAAACATGGCCAATTAGCACTGTTGGCTACGTACGGTGCGAAAGAAGTTCAACATACAGTACATATAGAACATCGGCGGTTAGCGGCGATATCTGACACGGTGCTGGTGCTCCACGACCAGTGCGCCGACCCAATATCTGACACGGTGCTGGTGCACCACGACCCGTGCGCCGACCCGATATCTGACACGGTGCTGCTGGTGCACCACGACCCGTGCGCCGACCCGATATCTGACACGGTGCTGCTGGTGCACCACGACCCGTGCGCCGACCCGATATCTGACACGGTGCTGCTGGTGCGCCACGACCCGTGCGCCGACCCGATATCTGACACGGTGCTGCTGGTGCACCACGACCCGTGCGCCGACCCGATATCTGACACGGTGCTGGTGCACCACGACCCGTGCGCCGACCCGATATCTGACACGGTGCTGGTGCACCACGACCCGTGCGCCGACCCGATATCTGACACGGTGCTGCTGGTGCACCACGACCCGTGCGCCGACCCGATATCTGACACGGTGCTAGTGCACCACGACCAGTGTGCCGACCCGATATCTGACACGGTGCTGCTGGTGCACCACGACCCGTGCGCCGACCCGATTTCTGACACGGTGCTGCTGGTGCACCACGACCCG